CCCCCCCCCCCCCGTCCTGCCAAGGGCTGGGGCTGCCGAGGCGAGAAAAGCCGCTGGCCACAGAGCCCGGAGCCGGGACCAGCGATGGCCCCTTCCCTGGGCGCTTCCCAGGCTGCTGAAGGAGAAACAAGAGGCAGGAGATCGTATAAAAAACGAGCAGCGAGGGATGTTTAATCATAAAAACTTGTTATAGGGCCCTTTCTTTAATGAAATGAGTGGAGCAGCGTTTTAATCTTTCTAATCAAAACCAGATCGGGCGGGCGAAATGCGTTTTGTCGCCCTCGTCCCGGTTCCTCCGAAATAAAAAAATCTGGAAGCGATTACTTCTGCTGATCTCGTAAAATATTGCTCTTTAATATTTCTTGCTGCGGCGTTTGGAGGTTTCTTTTCCTTCCCCCTGATTTGTGTCCTCGCTCTCAAAAGCGGGGGCTCTTTTTTATTTTTTTGTGGCCGGAGGGGGACAGGGCGCACCCGCGGTTTATCAGCGGACACATCCCCGGAGCGGGGGTAGCAAAGAAAAAAAAAAAAAAAAAAACAACCCTTTTACAATCCCAGTTTTGTGTTAGGTCTGCTCGGGGGGAAAAAAAAAAACCAACAACAACAACAACAACAAAAAAAAAAAACCCCAACAACAACCCAACCTTAACGAGCGCAATGAAATGGTCAGGATAGAAAACATTTTAGCGGAGCAAAGAGATTTATGGACCAAAAATAAATAAATAAATAAATAAATAAATAAATAAATAAATGAAAAAGGAGAAGGGGGAAGTCTTTCCGCGTATGTCATGCCAATTTTATTTTTTTAATTATTATTATTGTTATTGTTATTATTGTTGTTTTCTTTCCCTCCTGTCTCTTCCTCTGCCTTCCTTCCTCCTGCCTCAAATAAAGAACCGAATCCTCGCGGGGTCGGACAGAGGGGCGAAATCGCCCCCTTTTTGTCATTATCAATTAAGAGAGAGAGCGAGAGAGGAAAATAATCCCGGCCGTAATTTGGACAGGACTCGGAGGCAGTTTCGGACCCGTCTCTCTGGAGGGGCTTGTCACGAACGTTTAAGGGACGTGGCGGAGCCGTGATGGATGGAAGTTCATTTTGGCCCCCCTTTCATTCGAGCCCATCTCATTTCCAGTGCCACCACAGCCCGGCTCCCTCCCCCCAGCCCCCCTCCCTCTCTCCCCAGCCCCCCCCTTTTCCCTCCGCAGCCCCTCTCTCCCCCCTTCCAGCCCCTCTCTCCCCCCTTCCAACCCCTCTCTCCCCCCTTCCAACCCCT